GTTCGGTTTCAGTTTCGGTTTCGGCCGAAACTGACACCCAGACCGAAGGTTCGTTTTCGGTTTCGGTTTCGGTTGAAAATCCTGTTTCGGTCGGACACTTATTTTATTATTATATTGTTTACTAGTGGCCAATTGTAAAAACTTTCGGTGTCGCCCTCGTATGTCGTGTCAAAGCATGTTTAGTAGGATAAATATATTGGGTAGAACCTTGGAACGAAAGAAAAGGGGCCGCGTTGATGCAACTTCGCCCACGTTTATATTAGTCCACGCTACGCCTCTGTAAACTGTTATTTAAAAAAAAGTCCCGCTGGTTTACTTGCTGGTTCTTTCAAGGACAGAGGTTTTTTTCGAACCAGTGGTAATTAAACAAAAGAGTGACTTTCAATAAGTATTATTTACAGTCAATGTTGAATAAAAAAGTTTGTTTCTGTGTATGACGTGACGTGACTTGTTCGGTGAAACCACGTCACGTAACTATCGTAAACCATCGTCACGTTACATGAACTTGCTGCCGCAAAAATGCTGATCGTGAAGTATGTGCAACACAATGAATTTAAAACGGATATTGAACATTTACGTTAATCGGGCACAATAACAACAAAAAATAAATTATTAAATTAGAATTCATTTATTGATGAAGCCGGATTGTTGAGAGTTGGAGGTCGGTTAACAAGATCAGTTAAATATGGAAACAAAACATCCCAAAATCATTCCTCGAAACAGTCGCCTAGCAGAGCTGCTAATTCAAGAAGCCCATAAAACCTTTCATGGAGGTCCCAAATTGACGTCTGCTAATTTCAGACAGCAATACTGGATCGTTGGAGGACTAAACGCGGTGAAAAAATAGTTGAGAAACTTGGTGACGTGTCACAAGAACAAGCCAGAACTATCCCATCAATTGATGGGTGATTTGCCACCTGCACGAACGTAGCTGGCGCCCCAATTCTTCCATACGGGGGTAGATTACACCGGTTTCATAGAAGTCAAGGCGAACAAAACAAGAAGCGCATGATCATCGAAAGGCTATATAGCAGTTTTTATCTGTATGGTGACAAAGGCGGTGCACTTGGAGTTAGTGTCCGACCTGTCCAGCACCGCCTTCCTTGCTGCCCTGCGAAGAATGTCAGCACGTCACGGAGCCCCGTGTCACCTATATAGTGACCGTGGAACGAACCTTGCCGGCGCCAACCGTGCTATGCAGGAGGAGTACGAACAGCTCCGACAGATATTTGATAACAATTTCTTGAGTGTGCTGGCTAACATGAACATTGAGTGGCATTTTAATGCCCCTTCGTGGCCGAGCACTGGATGGTTCTGGGAAAGAGCTGTTCAGAGCCTCAAATTCCACCTAAGACGAGTCATGGGCGAACAGCGGCTTACGTTTGAAGACTCTCTCTCTCTACCATCTTAGCACAGCTGGAGGCGTGCCTAAACTCCCGGCCCCTGTGCGCACTCACGGAGAATATTGAAGACTTAGAATATTTATCGCCGACGCACTTCCTTACTGGACGAGCAGGATTAACTATCATTCAAACTGCCGAAGACGCTAGGGCCAGATGGCATCTAACAACTGAAATATTCCAACAAATATGGAAGAAGTGGACGTCAGAGTACTTGTTACAACTAACTGTAAGAACCAAATGATTTCGACCACAACGGAACATAGATATTGGGGATCTGATAACAATCCATGATGACAATCTGCCTGCTGGGAAGTGGCCTACGGCAAGAGTGGTCGAGTTACATCCCCGACGGCCACGTTCGAGTTGTAACTCTTAAAACGGAAAAGGGTTACTTAAAACGGCCTATTGTAAAACTAAGCATTTTACCAATTAAAAAAGCAAGCAGTGACAGTGATAGCAGCGAACAGTTGTAAGAAAATAAAACAAGAAACAAGAGGTCAATAGGTCATTCCAGTTTATACTCCATCGTTATGGCTCTATTATTTTTTACAACTTGGTGTCTGCGGTGAATGGAACAAGCAACATAACTCATCTGAATGAAAAACAAACATTGTACTTTGACCCGTTGGCAAAACAACAAGCTTCTGAGAGATCAATGGACCCTAGTAACCTACTATGAGATGGAATCCTTTTGGGACGGGACAGAAGCATTCAAAAAATTATTAGACCACCTAGAAAAATCATGCATAATTATGGATACAAACAACAAATGTAACCTGATTGTTCCACAGCTACGTCACGAGTATACGGAGTTACAATACTATAATCAGCTGTTGCTGATCCAACATTTTACCGAGCGCTCTAGACGGCGACGACGCGGCCTTATCAATGGGGTCGGTTACCTGGCCAATACATTGTTCGGAGTATTGGATGAGCGATTCGCCGAACAATATACACGACATTAACTTTATTAAACAAGACCAAGCCCATCTTAAAAGGTTATGGATCAATCAGACATCTGTGGTGGAATCCGAATACAACTATCTGAAACGGTTGGAGGGATTTATGGATAAACAACATAAAGCTATACTGCATCGTCGGTTTTATACTTCTGGTGGGTGTGGTAGCAGCATAGCGTAATGTGCGACGGAGTTGGAACAAACCTAATGTAGACCCGACAACGAAGAGCAGTGCGGCTCTCGCCCTCATCCTGCACCGCGAACCAGCATCTCCACATCACAACAGGATATTCAGATGGTGGACATGAACATTTCAGGAAAACGAGATGTGAAAACGCGCGTTGCGTTCCCTAAATTAGTGTTAAGTGGTGAATCTTTATAATATGTGTTTCTTAATTTTTTAATTTTATTTTCTCTTATCTTCGTTATCTTCATCCCCCGGGAATATGTTCGGTGAAACCGAATACCTTTGTCAGCAATTGGCGCAACGCCGCAAATTTGTTTAGTGCACTTTCGTTACGCAACAGTGGCGGGTGCATTCATAACAATTTATTAACATTTTTGTAACTGTTTTAAAAAAAGTGATTTTTAACTATTTCAATTCAACATACTTAACAAACAACCAGACACACCCCCGACATGATTCGTATATTCTCTATAATACACGAGTCACGAACTCATCCGAACGACGCACGATAATCCACGAACACTGAGTTTCGGCGCCGCCGAAAGTTCGTCAGATTTTTTGCCGAAACCGAAACTATTACCGAAACTAGATTTTTTTGCCGAAACTTGCGAAACCGAACCTTCGGTCGGTCACTACGTGTAATATAGTCTGCGTAGTATCAAATTATTACACAACGGTTAAAACTAATTTTAAACTTTATTTAAAAAATATGGTATTTATTTGAAAAAACACCCATCATTCTTTATTCCGTCTATAACTAACAGAATTATATAAAATAGAAAATTAATATCTAAAGAAGGGAAAATACATAACCTTCGTTTATTGAAGTTCCGTAATCGGATAAAAAAGTAGCCTATAAGTTGCCCTGCGTTAATCTTAAACTACCTACATACAAAATTACATAGAAATCGGTCCAGTAGTTTTTGCGTGAATCTTGAATACACAGACAGATAGACAGACAAACAGATGGACAGACAGACATGAGACCTATGTTTGACAAATAAACTATTCTGATTCTGATGCATTAAAATGTGTTCTCAAAATTCATAGAAACATTTCGGTTGACCCTAATTTTATAAATAATATGTAACAACAGACAGTAACACCGTTAGATACGATATAGAACGTATAGCCTAATGGCAGGGCGCGGACCGCGGACTCGAAAGGCCGTGGGTTCGAATCCGCCATTCGACTACTGTCGTGAACCACTTTCTAACACAAGCATTTTAAGCTTTCCAGAAGTGGTTAAACGGAATATTAGTAATGTTTAACAGCATTACTAGTATTTTTAAAGAAGATTAAATATATCACATGTATGTACGCTCACACGGACGGACGGACGCATCTTTATTTTTAAACGCACCTATAAATTATGATCTGGAAGAGTTTTTTTTAAACTTACTTTGTTTTTTTTTTAGTATAGCCCCGATTTTGCTTTGCCGTAGTCATTTAAAAAAGAAACAGATATAATACACACATTGCTGTTTATATGCACATATACATAAAATTCACATGCAAACAACGAGCAGTATAGTAGTAGAGTAGTAGAGCATTAGATAGTTAAAGGTACTCGTAGATCTTTCATATAATAGATAAAAGATAGATGTTTTTATTGTGCTAGTGGACTTCTGCACGAAAAACCGCCAATTCGGAGAGCATATGGGAGCGCGAGCAGCAGTAGGGGCAAGAGAAATAACCCATTTACATACTCGAGCTACCCACTTCCATCCTCACTTCACTGCTCACTGCCGCGGAAATTAGGTGAACATAAATTAGGCATGATATGTAGTATCACAACCGACATTTTTTAATACTTTTAATATTTCTGGGCTTAAGTGTAGTATCATGAAAGTTTTCTCAACTGGCAAAGTTTTTGGAAACTTATAATCGACAGCAATTACAGTGGCCCTAATTTGTTTAAAAACCATGAAGCAAATACAAAGTACTTTGTATTTGCTTCATGTTAAAAACTACTCTTAATAGCTTATCTAACATCAGTGATTACTCTGGAAATCTCAGTCACAGAGTACTTACGTCACAGAAGCCATCAAAATTGGTATAACAAATAGTGCGATTGTCTGACATTGGAGTGAAATGTGGTTGGCTTCGTTTTGATGTTTGGTTTTGCTGTGTATCGGTATCAATTATACGAGTAAGCATTTATTATATTATGTCTTTTTCATATCAATACATTACGCTACTCAATGTTATATCAAAATATTTTTTTATTTTTTTAATATATATATATATATATATATATATATATATATATATATATATATATATATATATAGGTACACGTATTTTTTATATTAATCTGCCATAGGTTTCAAAGCTCTGGAAAACATTGCAATCTTGAATGTGTACTTTTAAGTATAGTATGAGAAAAAAAAGTCTTCAAACTCACTTTAAAATTTATCTGATACTGTATTAATTTTAGAATTAACTTACGTTCCTTTAGCCATGAATGGTATAGGACTTGTTGCTTTTAATTTCCAAATATCACGACATACTCCGTTGACCAGCTGTTGTCCTTCCGGACAGTTCGTTGGAACTGTTACCATATTAAGAGGCGCCTTATCCTTGTTACTCTGAATACTGCCAAAACAATTATAAAATATTATTTATACAGTCACATAGAGCAACACGGGCTACCGGCTCACCGGAGGGGAGTAGCCAGAGTATTTTGGTGCAGAACTGTCTGTAATTTTTTGCGGGAAAAATCTGCGCACACAAAAACAATAGTGTGTCACTACGAAACTCACACATACATTGTAACAGTGTCATTCGGTGACAGCAACAACTCGGATAAAGATTCGAATCAGTAGCTCGACCGATCCGCATATAGTATGAAGGCGTTCAGCCTTGAGACTAGATTTAGTCTAGCGAGCAGTGTGGTGTGGCTGCAACTAGTTTTATTGTGCGCATAGGACCGCGGGGACTTATACTACAGAGGGGAACGCCTGCGTATAGCTACTCATATCTTAAAAACGCATTACTCAAGATTTTATTGATAACTTGATTAGGAGTATGCCAATGAGATTGGAAGTAGTTAGAAGAGCTAGAATGGACAACACTAAGTACTGATTATAGCCCATATCTTTCCTAAGCATTTATGAAAAAAAAATTAATAAAATGTGTTAAGTACAAAAATGTTTCTTTCCTGTAAAATTTTTCTTTTTTTTAAATGGTTTATCATTTGTCATTTGATCGTTTGTTTTTTTCGGCGTTTGAAAATTTAAATTAAGGAATAATAAGCAAAATTCATATTAATTAACTTAATTGTCACAAATTTTTTTTTCTTATTAAAAAACGTTACCCCCACACTAGGATTTTCTCCTGTGTCGTGGAGGCAGTTTATAAACATAAATTGCACAACGACAAACATCCAGACCCGGAACAATTATTTGTAGGCCATACAAAATACGTGTTCCGTGCGAGAGTCGAACCCGCGGCCCCCAGCGCAACAACTGATTGCTAAGCCACTGCGCCACGGAGCCGTCAAATATCAATGATATTTTGTTTTAGACACACTTTTTTGTGTTCCTCTAAATTTGTCCTTGGTTAGGTATATTATGTTGTTTACTATTATAATATCAAGGATTGATTACTGATAATGTTTTCTTACTTGGAACATATCTGTTTTGACCTTAATTTGTTGTTTGATCTTTCACTAATAAAATAAATATGTAATAACTTACACTTCCTCTGCTACCATCATGAGAGGATTAGAAGGATCCAGTCTCCAAACATCGCGGCATACTCCATTGATAAGTTGTTGACCTTCGGGACAATTAGTCGGAACTGTTACCATGTTGTGCGGTACATTTTGAATTTTAGGCTGTGCATAAGCCAATGAAACAATAGCGAGTAATTTCGCTACGTAATACATTATTTCCTTTTATTTCAAACACAAAAAAATTGCAACGCTAGTACTTGTCAGCAAATATATACTAATTGATTGGTACACATATAATCAAGCTGTCTCTTTATATAAATCAATCGATAAGCAGGTTGCGTATAAGATAAGGTATCAGGAGGTCTACTCTAATTCAACGAAAAACGAAATTTCGATCGAAATTTCGCTCAATTCCTACCATGGTTCCATTCGATTCGAAACTTCGTTGAAACGAAATTAGTTTGACGTTTAAATTCTCTAAGCCTACTCTATTGCACTAAAGTTACGAACGAAAATTGAAGTTTGACAGATACTTGTTCGTAATTTTAACCTCAAATTGACGAAACCAAAAGTGTTAACTTTTTATTTTCGTTTTGGTCGATTTTGTTCAAAATTTAACTAAAATGGCTACGAGACAGCTTTTAATCGCGGCTGCTTTACGTGAAGAACGATTGGAGCGTAGAAGGAACCGGCGCCGCCTGCGTAATCAATTAAATATTTCAAATATTCCCGATCTAGAGTTTGTCGGAAATTACAGACTCAGTCGGGAATTATTCGAGGAGTTGTGCCAGGACATAGTGCCTTTATTGCCTCCAAAGGGAAGACGACATGGAATCGAGCCCACACTTAAAGTAAGTTTAAATTGTTTAAACACTCCCTTCTCTTTAATTTTTCATTTTACTGTTCATAAGCCTCAATCTGTGTTAATGTATTTCAGATACTTACTGCTTTGAACTTTTATGCCCGAGGAAGTTACCAGGGGTCAGTGGGACAAAATATGGATGGGCCCATGGCACAACAGACAGTGTCCCGTTGTTTACAAGAGGTAACAACTGCACTTAATGCACCCCACATACTAAGGAAGCACATAAGATTCCCACAAAATAGGAATGAAAGGAATCTTATTAAGCAGAAGTAAGTACTTACCTTCCTATCTAGTATTGACCGTTAAACTTATTAACATGTGAAATACCTAGTAATTAAAATATTATTCTGTTATTTTAAATGAACAATTTACATAAAAAGTGTGCCAAGACTAGGCAAATAAGTCATGCAAAAACAAATATAATTTTATTGTACAATTTACTATTCTATAATAATATTGTATCCTTATTGTAGATTTTATGATAAATATGGGCTACCCGCTGTGGTGGGGTGCATCGATTGTTCACATATAGCCATAGTGAGGCCTTCGGAGCACGAGGAACGATATTTTAATCGAAAACATTTTCATTCGATTAATACTCAAGTTGTAAGTTTATGTACAATATTTTAATGTTTTTATTATGACATTCACTATTTTATTACTTACATTTTATCCTATGTTACATTGATGGAAATTCTTTTTCAGATATGTGACAGTGATTTATTAATTACAAATGTTGATGCTTCATATGGTGGAGCAACTCACGACGCTTATATTTGGAGGGAATGTGAGATAAGAAACCACTTGGAGGGTCTCCAGGATGAAACAGTTTATCTATTAGGCATGTCTTGATTTATAGTTTTGATATTCATTATGTGTAAGTAATGTGATGATGCAATTTACACTAATATTATATTTTTAAATTTTTAGGTGATTCTGGTTATGCTCTAAGGGAGCATATGATGACACCTGTAGATAATGCTGTTGAGAACTCTCCAGAGGGAAGGTACAATTACCTCCAAAAACGTGTACGCTGCACCATAGAACGCACATTTGGTGTATTGAAGGGTCGATGGAGATGTCTTTTGGCAGCTAGGGAACTCCATTACTGCCCAGAAACAGCAGGTAAAATTATATTAGCCTGCTGTGTTTTACACAACATGTGTATAAGGGCTGGTATTGAAGGTCCCGAGTTGACTGAAGAGGAACACCAATCGGAGAGAACCAGGCAGGTTCCCTTTGAAACAGCCGCATCTTCTACTCAAGCTCTACAGGCAGGTCGAAGGGCAAGGAATTCATTAATACAAATGTTAGAAAGGAACCGGTAAGATAAACTCAAACCAAACAATTGTGCAAGTAGATTAAAATAAACTCAATTAAAAACTTTTTTTTGTTTTAGGAGATAATCATCATCATCATCATATCAGCCACATTTAAGCCGTTTATTTGTGATTAAGTAACAATCAAAATCCATACTTTCTCATTTATAATATTATAGGATTAGGAATTAATATTACTGAAATGTATGGCACTCACTTCTTACCTAAAACATACACTTCTTATCTTGTTATAATTGTAAGCAATGCATTTTTTTTAATGTTAACTTTTATGTCTAATGAATTTAGTTAATATTGCATATTGTACAACATTATCTATTTAGGTATGAATTTTCGAGTAGGTACCTAGTAGACAGTGATTTCTCAACTAGTTGAAAGTTATTTGCTCTTACCTTTCCGATGTGTAGATAATTAATTTCAATACCTGCCCATTGTATGTAAACTTTTGTTAATTTTTGTGATGTAAAATTACATTACCTTAAAGGTCATTTTACAAATTTGATGACTCTGTATGAAATATACAAGGAGAAAAAAATCAGCCCTTAAAGAGTTTCTTGCCGGTTCTTCTCGTTACAAGGTCTCCCGCTTAGGGTTTGAGAACCGATGGCGTAGCTTCTTTGACATTCACAAGTGCTTGTAACAGCCTAGATTAAAATATTTTTAGGCATAAAATTAGTTCTGTTTTATTTTTTCACCTACTTATCGTTATCCTACCTACCTAGATGTTCATAAAATGGCAACAAATATTTACTTAATCCTTACCTATGACATTGCAGATATTTTGTCACATACAGAGAAAATAATAACTTCTATGATTTTAAATACTTAACAGTATCTTTATATTATATCGAATTATGGTCATGATAATCAACTCTCAGTAATAATAAAGTTCTTATTTTAGCTTTCTTAATCTGAAAGTACAAATAGTCTCAAAAATAGTAAAAAGAAACAATAGTATTCAAAAATAAATTTATTTAAAACCTAACGCCTATTTTGCCTTAAAAACTCTAAATAATCACGCCCTATGTCACGCAACTCTTCCAAGGCAGCCCTGATGCCTGCGAGCTCGGTGTTCCTCACTGTCTCTCTCTCTGCACGTCCATCTTCATACTGGTACAACCTGCTTCTGACATCGGAGCCAGCAGCAGATCGTATTCTTCTGGGACGTGCAGATTGTGAGGCTGCAAAACAACATTCCAATATGTTACATTGCAGTAAATACTTAATCAATAAGTATATTTTTTGTGACAAACAATATTTTTCTTGTAATTTTAATCTCGACTGTAGTTTAGTGGTAAGACCTTCATGTATCAAATACATCCATACATACCTTCTTGTGTATCAATTTCGATCGAAATTTCGTTTTTCCTTGAATTAGAGTAGACCTGCTGGCTTTCTTTGCTTGGGTCGGCGTACTCCTCAACTTCTACATGCAAGTCCAGGCTCTGCTGCTGCAGTTGGCTTCCTTGACTGTAGGTTGATGGTCTGGATTCATTCGTCTGAAATGAATATAAAAGATTGAATGCTTAATGTTTAAGTGAAGTATTAATTTTTAATGTCTACCACAATACAAATTGTATTGTATTTTTACCTGATGGGTTAAAAAAAGTAGCATACTCACATAGAAAAATAATTTTGTAAATAAAAATCATATATCATTAAGATAAATATTTGAACATATCAAAGTTAAGAAATAGGGAAACCAAAGAATGATGAGGTACTTACTTCAGTGAAAGCTGGCACTCTGGCTCCAATTTGGCGGTCACCGAACCCATCTCCCATTATGGATAAGACTTTTAATTCCGAATGGGAGAGTTGGGGTGCCACTGATGGACCACCTCCAGTCATTGAAGCCGACCTCCGGGAATCAGCAGCGGCTTTTTTGGCCAGATGTTTTCTATCAAACCATACCTATCCAAAATAAAAGTAAATATTAAATCTTTGTCACTCACTTTTCACTGATAAATAGCTTAAGCATTTAATTATATTACTACGAATTACCTTTTGCCACTGCTGAACTGTCTTTGTGCAACCGCCCATGGAATTGAGTGTATTGCACAATTCATCCCACAGCCTCTTCGCCTGGACTTTTCCTTCTAGACTCCTCAATCTCCCGCGAGCAAGATCCCTATGCTCGTCCAGGAAATTGAGGAGTGCATCAATTTGTTCAGGAGTAGCCGAACCCGTATGTGGAGCCATTATTTTACACTGAAAGATAAGATGAAAATAAATTATAGGTACCTATTATTACAAAAAAATATGTTATGGAAGTATTATAAGTGCAAAACAATTAACATTACTTACACTCTTTCTGAATATAAAACCAAATTAAACCAAATAGAAGTCTTTGTGGACCAAAGGACGCCCATATGAAGACTGCGACTTGAAATTGAAACTTTGTCAGGGAATGTGTATCGCGTTTGCAAAGTAGGCAAAGAAAAAAACAAAACATATTAATAACTCTTCACTTGAGCACACAGGAAAGAATCTCTACCTACGTCTTACACTTGAGCTTGAGAAACAAACTTAAAACTATTCAAACTTTCAAAGAATGCAAACAAAAAATCCACAAGTGATGACATTGTGATAATACGGATAAGTTTGGTTGTTATACGATACTATTAACACCGTTTGTTATTATTGTACACCTTAACTTAGTCGGTTAACGGTCATTGAAAGGGTTATTTTAGTGTCACTGTGATTTTCTTCGAAAAATTGTATATTTATTGCTTGTGTAAGATTTTTTGGAATAATATGCATAAAAAACCACTTTTTATTTTAGATTATTTTAATAAATTCGTAAAATACATAACATTGTTCGTTCCATTCGTTCACGAAAATTGTCTTTGGACTCGAACTTTGCGTGCGCGTCCGAAAATGATATAGAGTAGGGTCAGACACGAAACTTCGTTTAAATTTCGTTCGTTAACGAAGTTTCGTTTCGGAGAAAGAGAGTAGGCCTCCTGATTTGTGCGCTAGTGTGATTAAACAACAATTCAATAAAGAAAGTA